TCATTGCTAATAAGCCTAGTAATGAAGCTCTTGGGCATGTAGGACGCGCAAAACTTGGGACCTGGCTCTGGTTTGTTTTTGCCACACACGGTCAGGTAAACGTGGGGCAAGGGTCCGGGTGATAACGTGGCCTTGGCGTCCCACCTATCAGTCCCGCTTACCAGCACTGCCCTCCCCTGATGGCACACCAGGCACCATCGTCTTCGCTCTTATGTTCGCTGCCAGCAATAATGATGACCCTTCTTCCGCGTGAACTGGCTGGCTGGTGCTGGTGGGCCCAGTGACTGAGGCCCGTCAGTGGGGCACACTCGAGGCTTGGGCATTGGGCATGCAGGCACTTGGCCCCGGTCAATTCCCGTAGCATGTCTGAAGCAACAACGTCCCTGCATCCGGTGCCATTAGTTTCCAAAAAAACACGCGCCCCGTGCCTGTCGCCATTGCTGATGATGGCAACAAGCCACACAGCACTGGGCACACAGTCAGCAATGCAAGAGAAGCCATGCAGCAATATAGTACCCTATTTGGCTGTGACAGTGCATGTGAGCAGCGCAAGAAGTGGCGGTGCGCACAAGAGCAGTGGCAGTGCAAGGCGGTAAATGTAAGAGTGGTAGTGCATGCATGAGCGGCAATGCTCAAGGGCAGCGGCATGTCATCCGACGGTTCCTGCCACGCTTGGGAGGCACGCGCCAGTCTCTCAGGAACAGCATCTGAGATCCTGATTCACAGGTTACTGGAAGACAATGCCACAAAGCTATAACTTGATGCCTCAGTGCAGCTCGGTCCATGAGACGAAGAAGGCAGGAGGTTATAACATTCCACCTAGTGTGTTCCATGATGTACGCATGACCACTGCGATGATCAAACGTGAAGTACGTGGCTGCACAAATGTCCTCACAAACAATATTTACTTTATGAGCAGCTCATTGCACTGTACTACCAAACTGGCGTCAAGATCTTCCTCATGACATTGTGTGGCGATACCTTCCACTGTGCGAAGCCTCATCTATTCTATACCTCGGAAATATCTGAACAATTCTTTCAGATGAGCTTCGGCGTCGAGCTGGGAGACTGGGTGCAAAAGCTTGAGTGTTACAGGCTCGGAAAGGTACCAGGTACACTTGCACCACTACCCCTCATCTACATCACTGATTCCATCTGATACAGGGGTGAAAGAGAAGACTGAGGCCGATCAGGCCGAGCTCAGAAAGCACATTGCAGCGATCACCTTGAGCAACCTGCGTATGATTCTCTTTGTTCCAGAGTGCTCACCAAGCTAACCACCATCCCGGAACCCTATAGAAGATGCTGCAAGCTGCGTGTCCGCACACTGTTGAAAAAATGAACTACCTGAGTTTTAACTCTGCCATCACACTCAGATATGGTGTCATCTGTGAGCATTACCCGCTAAACTATTTTTGTGGTCCTGACAGTATTACCACTGTCTCCGCCCTTCGTGTGCTCTTCAACAGCTGGCATAGTGGAACAACATGGCTCCGCTATCTTTCGCAAGCCAAATACGATGCCTGAGTAAAGGAGTATGAAGCTCGAAGTCATGCAGAATTGATTCCGGCAGCTCCTGTCTCTGTTTCTTCGGCCATGGCGTCAGTACCTCCACTCCCTATGGGGGTGTTCCGCGGTGTCTTCATGCTGCAGTCAATGCCAGCACTTCAGTCTACTGCTGCGCAGCCTCAGATCGTGTTGCCGCAACCTGGGCGCCCTCTATATCTCTGCAGCCTGCCACTGCTCAGCCTGAAATTACTGCCACACAGCCTGTCATACAACTCACAGCGCAACCTGAGGGCACCATTGCGCAGCTTGAGTCTGCTGTCGTGCAACCAATCATCACATTCACACAGTCCGCCATCATCGTCACATTGCCTGCACTTGCGTTACACGGTGCACCTTCGGCTTTCACATTTGTTCCTACAATTGTCACTAATCCGGCCACTGTTCAAGCTCCGGTTCCAACTGCAGCAATGACATGTACACATGCAACGGCGTTTGGCAACAATGGTGCCAGTGCATTAGCACTCACTAAGCAAAAGTGTTGAGATGCAGGTGTCAAGCGCGGTCCAAATATTCAGACATTGTGGAAGCAGCAAGCTCAGGCGGCATCCCAGGCCTCATAGTCACTGCACAATGTATTTACTCATCACGCTTGTTTATTGGAACATTAAAAAGTATATCTGTGGGCGCTTCGAGCTATGGGATGGACTGTTGCCTAGCGCACAGCTAGGGGTCTCCAACATAGCTCAGGCTTTGTAGTGTTGATGGGCGTTGTCGTGCGTAGGCCACTCCATGCGATCTGAAATCTCAGATGCTGTTCCTGAGAGACTGGCGCGTGCCTCCCAAGCGTGGCAGGAACCGTCGGATGACATGCCGCTGCCCTTGAGCATTGCCGCTCATGCATGCACTACCACTCTTACATTTACCGCCTTGCACTGCCACTGCTCTTGTGCGCACCGCCACTTCTTGCGCTGCTCACATGCACTGTCACAGCCAAATAGGGTACTATATTGCTGCATGGCTTCTCTTGCATTGCTGACTGTGTGCCCAGTGCTGTGTGGCTTGTTGCCATCATCAGCAATGGCGACAGGCACGGGGCGCGTGTTTTTTTGGAAACTAATGGCACCGGATGCAGGGACGTTGTTGCTTCAGACATGCTACGGGAATTGACCGGGGCCAAGTGCCTGCATGCCCAATGCCCAAGCCTCGAGTGTGCCCCACTGACGGGCCTCAGTCACTGGGCCCACCAGCACCAGCCAGCCAGTTCACGCGGAAGAAGGGTCATCATTATTGCTGGCAGCGAACATAAGAGCGAAGACGATGGTGCCTGGTGTGCCATCAGGGGAGGGCAGTGCTGGTAAGCGGGACTGATAGGTGGGACGCCAAGGCCACGTTATCACCCGGACCCTTGCCCCACGTTTACCTGACCGTGTGTGGCAAAAACAAACCAGAGCCAGGTCCCAAGTTTTGCGCGTCCTACATGCCCAAGAGCTTCAATTACTAGGCTTATTAGCAATGAGTAGCTTGTATTAAGAGTA